GTTTCCATCTGGAAGAAGGAGCTGGGCATTCTCAGACAGACAGGAATTCACAGCTGGAGTAAAATCCTGGCCTCATAGAAGTCAGTGGCAAAACTCCCCTTGATTTCAATAGGGCCATGAACCATCTTCTGTCTTTGGATGTGTAGGATTTCGGTACACAGCAGGCAGAGAGGAAGTGTTACTACAGTTTACCTCCACTTACCCTGTTTCCATAAGCCGTAAGGAATTCTTTCCTAACGTCCAATGTAACTTATGGTATTCATGTCCTCATAAAGTAATTCCTTATTGGCTATTTATCTTTCTAAAGAAAAGCCACTATGGTCTCCTTGTGTCCTAATATAATTTACATTACAGATCTTCCTTTTATTCTCCTCTCCCATTCACATGTCAACTCTTCCTCCACTTGGTGTGATACCTTCAGAACAACTAAACTCAGAGGAAGCAACTGTGATGAAGTGGGAATGTTCCTAGTGTTTTGTCTGAATACAGCGGGTGCCTCAGTTTCCCCTATGTATTCCTCAAGTATCTAAGGACATGTCTACAGTACAAAATTTCAAAATAAGTTATTTTGAAATAACTCCCAAAATACCTATTTCAAAATAGTGCATCCATACCACAAGGCACCATCAAAATAGTTCAGAATTATTTTGAAATAGTGTCTCCAGAGTTACTGGAACCTGCATTGCATTTAAAGCCTCCAGAAGCACTTCTCAGAGGGCACCAGGAAAGCAATCACTTCCTGTAGCTGCTTGCTGAGGCTAGCTGAGACTCATGCTTAAAGGGGCTCCTCTTTACAGCCGCATCTCATGTGCCACTTCTCCACTGCCTACCCCCTCGTGGAACACCAAACTCACACCACAGGCTCTGCTTGCCCTTGCAAGATGCCACAGCATTTCCAAAGCGGAGCCAAAGCTACTGCAAAGCAGTGCTAGGCTCACCGGCCTTGTGTTGCACCTCATGATACAGCTGATCCACATAGCCCACATGGTGATTCAGGACCAAAACAACCAGCCTGGACCACAGGATCTCTTTACCAAGGCCCTGGTGCTCCTAATGCACCAAATAATCCATAATCCAATGCACACTATGGAATGCCACTTCTGGTGGAGGGAGGCCAGTTCTGACGTGTGGGACCTCATCATCCCGCAGCGATGGGAAGACCATCTTCAGAACTTCTGCATACAGAAAGCCACCTTCCTGGAGGTCTGTGAATGTCTTGCCCCATCCCTCAAATAACAGGACACCTTCCATCCCCTCCAGAAGCATGTCACCATCACCCTATGGAAGTTTGCCATACCGAACAGCTACCAATCCATGGAGAACCAGTTTGGCCTGGGGCAATCCACAGTTGGTGACAAAGCTTGACAAAGCTCTGGCTGGGATGATTTAGTTTGGATTAGTCTTGCTTTGACCAGGGGTTTGGACTTGATGAGGTCTCTTCCAACCGTATGATTTTATGTATGTATGATTCTATAAGTCGTCAAGACCATCAATGCCATCCTACCGCACTTGACATGGAACACATTCTGACCGAGTGCAGGCATGAGCTTGTGTTCTGTTCTGTACTTCTGTGTTTTCCCAGCCTCATTAGTGGTAGCTTGTTGTTGGAAGGTGTCCGGTCACGGAGTCCAGAGTACGGCAGGCCAGTACGGGAACCTTATGAGAAGGAGTGAGGGGTTCTTATGTGAGAGCATCATGGGGTTGAGTGCTCCAGACTGGTACTCCATGTGCACAGGCTGTTGTGCGCACCCCAGGCTTAGAAGGCCAAGTGAGGAGTGTGCAATTCCTCCCATTCCACTGCCTGCCCCCTCATGGAAAGCAATAGAACTCACCTGAAGTTCCTTCCCCAGGTTCATCTGAGCTCTGGGAAGCATCCTAGGAGTGGTGGACTGGTTCCAAGTTGATGATGACTTCTTGGATGGCGGGCATGGTGTCCTGGCTAGCTTGCTCCTCCTCCTTTTTTTCCTCCTCCTCCACAACTCCGCCTCATGGAGGCTGATGCCGGGCATGTCCTGACTGAAATAAGTGATGATGAGGTGGGGTGACTGGCCCACCTCCAAGGATGGCATCCAGCTGCTCATAAAAGTGGCAGGTGTGCTGTGCTGCCCCAGAGTGGGAACTTTGCTTCCTGGCCTTTGTGGCCAGGAGGCCTGGGAGAGCGCCTTAATTTTCATTCAGACCTGGTCCTGGGTTCTGGTGTGCCCTTTGTCCATAAGGCTGGTGGTTGTCCAACTATAGATGTTTCCATTGCACCTCTTGGTGTGGAGATGCTGGATTTTGGTCTCCTCACCCCAGAGATCGATGAGATCCAGGATCTCCACACCAGTCCAGGCTGGTGCCTTTTTTTGCCCCTGGCCAGTGGCATCAAAGGATGCTGCAGACATGCTGGCAGCTACATGAGGTGCACAGGGAGCGCTGGGATATGCCATGGCTCCTCTAATGCAGGGTGCTGAGAGAGACTCGGCTAGCAGGGCTTGCCTGGTGCCACAAACCCTTTCCCTTCTGCCTGTGGCTTTAAATTCTGCAGGAGAAGAGGAGCAGTAGAGTTGTCAGGGTGTGGCCAGAGTGGCCACAAGTGCAGCTGTGAGAGGCCTTTGGAGGCCAATTATTTCGAAATAACAGCAGCTGAACATCCACACTATTTCAAAATAACCATTATCTTAACATACTCTAAATTCTCTTAACATATTCACCTCATCACTTTTACTACTTTTATCATCTGTATTCCCTTTCCTCCATTCTATGTATTTTTCTTTTCATCCTCTTCTCCCTCCAGCTTTTTCCCTCTGTTCCATCCATTTCTTTTTCCACAATCATTACACCTACTATAAGAACCAGTACATTTATTTAAATAAGATCTCTGCCCTTACAGATTCAGGGTGTTCCTGTTTATTAACTTTACTTGTAAGTAAAGTTTGCTCTTTACAGCTATTTCCTTAAGTTGTTATTTTTATTTTACAATTGGATTCATTTAAAATAAAATGAAATATAGAAAGATTTCAGGAAATAATTAATGAAAATTCTCAGGCTTTTTTTCTATAAAACTGTGCACATTTTAGAGATCAGTCAACTTCGAGTTTGGAGGTTTTTTTTTTAAAAAGCACCAATGTTGTAGCATTATTTTTCTGAACCTACAGCAGAGCATTTAGTAAACCTAAAGTAGAGCAAAACAAATTGGAAATCTATCAAAGTAATCTTTCATTGGTCTGTAGGTAGTTCATATTTTTAATCAGAAGGAAAATAAAATATGAACAGCATGTGTTTTGTCTTCATATTTCTGCTCATGACTAATGTAATATGTATGGGTGAATGCTGAACACTAGATGGCAGCTTTACACTACACATAACACAGTCTAATAGATAGCTAGAATGTTTCCCCTGCACCTGTTTAAAAAGGTTTTTCTAGTATAGTTCATAGCTTTTATCATACTATAAGAACTATTTTGTGTCTTGTCTCTAATGCTTGGTTGATTCAAATAGTGTTACTTGGTATGTTTTGGCAGAAATGTATGAAAACTTTGGCGCACAAAACTGTTGTAATGAAGTTACTATATATATATATATATAAATAAAAACTTTAAAAAGGAATAGTCTGGTAGCACTTTAAAGACTAACAAAACATGTAGATGGTATCATGCGCTTTCGTGGGCATAGCCCACTTCTTCAGATGACCAGAATGTTGGGTCCATACAAAGTTTCAGATATAAATTGCTTCTCCTTATTTTCTAGTTCCTTCTAGCCCAGAGCAGTCCTGCTAGAGAAGTGGGTCTAGGAGCTTCCATATTTTCATGATACCACTTCCTTTTAAAAATATAAGGCAACATTATTTTTCTGAGTGAAATTATTTTTTATTTACATCTTGAGAGTTCAGAATCACACCCAGTATCATCTTTATTTCTGGCTGAATTGGACAGAATTTTAGCATATCAATTCTTTGTCTGACTGTGTTTTTGTTTCAAAAGACATACATTGATGCTACTTTATTCTTGAACAATTCTCAAATGGATTTAAAACCTCTGTGACACATAGGTGCAAATGAGTTAGACGGCTGTTAAAGTCACAATCCTGCAAATACTTACCTCATGACATCTTTACACAGGTGTGTGTTTCATTGAATTCAATGAGATTATTTGTGTGAGAGAGTAAGATTGGAGCCTAAGAGTCTAAACTCCCATTTGTTTTGTATTACCTCACTGATATTTACATTTTCAAAATGTTGGTTGATTTGAGACTCTTAAAGTTTTATGTTCTTGAACGCAAACAGGGCTTTTTTTTAAAGAAAGCAGTTATCCACACAACCACTTATTTTATTTTACCTTAATATTTTCTCTTTTGGGCAATTTTTTTTCTTCTAAAAAAATGGCTGAGACAGGAACAATCTGGTAGTTTTAATTTAATATTTGTCTGAATGTGGAGATTTGATTCTGATCTTTAACATAATTTTAGTCTTCAAATATGTAATTAGTTCTGGTTATATCTCTCAGCATTTAACAGTCAAGTGCATATAAAGCAATATACAGTGCTGTCCTCTGTAGAAAGGATCCTGTCAGAGACAGGTCAATGAGTTTGTAAGGAGGAATGCATCTATTGTTCTATATTCTTTGTTTATGAGTAAAGATTTAGGTTGGTTTATTTATCTGGAACTAGTTTTAAGCTGGGCATGCCCTACTGAGTGGATATGTGAAAAGACAATTAATTCAGCCCTGGTTTGGGAACAGAATGAACAATTTCACATTCAGCTTCAGACACTAGTTAATCTGGATGGCAAGTTTCAGCAAATCTCAGTGAAGGTGAAAGTAAAATAGCTTTCACCAGGAACAATGCATTTTGGATACCACATGAAACATGTCAGTGTTCAGGCTACCTCCTGTTCTTGTCTTGAAATATTAGAGGAGCACTGCTTTCTGGGGATGTGCTATTTGAGAAAGAAAGTAATTTAATACTAAATGCAGGCGGGGTCAGAGTGATGTAACAGGAAGCTCTGATGTTTCCCTTCTACTGCTGATCACTTACAATCTGACAACCCTTCCAGTTTTCCTCAGAGCAATTCCTCTCTCCACAGAAGACCAGAGTAACCCCTTTAAAAACATCAAGCTCAGATAAACTGGATTATACCCAGCTCGCAGGATTAGATTGTAGTTCTTTTACCATTCTCCACCTTACTGTGGGCAGGGAAAGGTGAAATCACACTCTTTAATAAATTGGAAGGGGAATATCCAGTTGCAATCCAAGAATTTATTTGATTTTTTTCCAAAGGAATTGTGTGTGGTGAGTACATATTAAAAGAGATTTACTGTATTATTAAAGATGAATGATATTCCTGAGGCATCTGAATGTAATTGTTAAAAGAGATATTATTAATATTATAGGGAGAAACTGCTTGGTTTTTATTCTCAGCATGTTGGTAATCTGCAGAGACAGAGCTATGAGAAAAAAAAGGTCTATGCTTTTGTTATCAGTGCACATATGCTGAGCTGATTTTATAACTGATATTGTTGAAATAGTAATCAAAAGTTGGACTAGTAAAAAGGATGATACAAATAAGACATGCAAGTCAGCACTTACAGGATTCTTTTAGAAACTCTGATATTAGCTGATCAGATTTCAGTGTTTGCATCTGGAGAGGATTAGGGCTTTACTGGTTGGGAAATTGTCCTTAAGACTAATCAGGACAACTGGGGTTCTTCCAAGAGAGGAAGAATTCAGTGATAAATGCAGAGCAGTTTTCTAAATTGGATTTTCTTCTAGTACCACTATCATAGTTATTGTACAGGAGAAAGAGATTATGGGCCAGAATGACTCCTTGTTGCTTTATAACAGAATTTAAAAGAATTTTGTTATTTTTAAGCAAAAACTTGGTGTTTGTCAATCAGGTTTTCATGAGCTTTTTTTCTTCTTTTTTTCCCCCAAGGTTTCCTTTCCACACCAAATGTGTTTGTTTGGAGGGAGGGAGTGTTATTTTTGTTTTTCCTCCCATGTTGATCTGTTCTTATTAAGCCATTGCATTATAGCAGACTGGAAATGTATGATAGGAGTGTGAGCGTTTTAGTATAAAGGATTACACCGACATTATCTATCTTGTTTGCCTTAAGAGAGGATTAAACTTTCTAATTTAGACTAGTATTTCCTGTCTGTATCCATGAAGCAACATTCCTATGATAGTTACCTTTGTTAGTCAGCTGCTGCATGTGTGTGTAAGTATGATGGGGGGAGATGAAGTCATGGATCATTAGAGGTAAAACCTGCATGAACATGTATGCTAGTACTGGAGGTCTATGTGCAGAAATAATATCAGCAGCAGTGTTCATCTAAGATATAATGAGACATTTCCCTGCAATTCAGTTAGTCCCCTGGTCACATTTGGAGGGTATTAATACAGGAAAGTCATAGAAGTAACTGTCTTGTTACTATTTTTTACCTTTATTAAATTTATGTTTAATACCTGGTATCAGTCTCCGATCTCATTTGCAGTAGATTATCTACGTATGTCAGGGAACTTAGTCACACATTTGCAACTGTGGGGGATTTAACAATTAAGCATGATGCTTTTTAAATGGCTCAGTCATGCTCTCAGCTACACTGTCTCTAAATCTAGAGTAAATCCATTGAAATGAGAGGAGTTACACTAATCTAGATCAGAATGACTGATAGTTGGCTTTAGTGGTTGTATCTTTCTTTAAAGCCATGATTTTCAACCTTTTTTCATTTTCAGACCCCTAAAATCTTTGGAGCTGCGTACCTCTTCAGAAATCTATTGCCTGCACACATAGTAGAATTCTGTTCAGTTTGTTTTTAGTATTAGTCTCTTTCTGACCCTTTAGACATTGTCTGCAAACCCCAGTTGAAAACCACTGCTTTAAAGAAAATAACACAGAGAAACCAGCAGCAATGGGAAGGATGTGGTCAGCTGTATGTTACATATTACTTCATATATTTTGCACGTGCAATGTATGTAGCAGTTCAGCCATGTTAATACTATCTACTCTAGGCATCGTGTTTTAGGCTGTTACTGTATTTAATCACAAGATTCTGCTTCCAATGAGGTCATACTCTCAGTGGTTCCAGGATGAATCCCAAATTCTTGATCTTGCTTTGGCAGTAGATGTGGGACAAAAGCCATGTAGCGTTTATAAAATCAAACAATAAAAAATAGACAAGTGCCAATGTTTTAATTAACTGAATACTAGAAATAATTGGATTCAGCAACTGTTTCAGATAATGGTTGAGGCTCCAATCCTTCACCAGCTTAACTTTGCACAAGTGCATTGTACCAGAGATTTCAGTGGGACTACTCACATGTGCATCTTTGAGCACGGGTATAAGTGTTTGCAGGAGCAGGGACGTAATCTAAAACGATTAGCGTATTTTATAGGCAATAACCAAACAGTCATGCAGAGCAGTTTGACTCAAAAGACTTGAGGTACAAAAGAAAAGTATTAAGTCTACCTGACTATGAACCATGGGCAGAACCAAATACAGACCCAAACCTATGGGGCTCAACATCCATATTCTTCAAACCAAATGAAACTTTGTTCTGTGATTCAACCCAAACACACTCTGGCTACTTCTACACAGTGGAGCTATTTCAAGATTCCTCCGGTATCCTGAAATAGCTTTTCCACATCTTAAAAGCAAGCCCGTTATATCAAAATACAATGGGCTCACTATTTCAACGTCCCTGTAAACCTCATTGCCCGAGGGATAAGGAACATTTCAGAATAGCACTTAATTTTGAAATAACATCAAAACAAGCTATGCAATTTGAGTAGCACACATTTCATAGCTTATTTCAAGTTAAGGGTTGACTTCAGTGGAAGTTCTGCTCAATTTTTAGAAAGGCAAGATTTGTCTTTTCTGATTTGGTACAATAGAGAAAATCCTGGCCCTATTGAAGTCCACGAGTGTTCTTCCACTGACCAGCATTTCACCAAAGGTACGCATGTTATAGTTATAGATCTGTTGTGCTGAGGAATTAACTGCAGCACAGATGGAAGGCTATTTCCCTTAACACATTTTTGTTCTGTTGCCTACAGTAGAACTTCTCATGTGTGTAAGGTTTCTATACAGTTGGGTTCACAAAGCTTTCATAAATCACATAAGGCCAAACTTATTTGAATTTTTCAATAACATCCCCTAAGAAATACTGAGCCTAGTCTGTTTTCAATAGTAAAGAATGAGTATTAAGTATATGCAGGGATATTTAACATATATTTCAAAAGTGTGATAGTAACTATTAAATAACCTTGTGCTACTTCATGAGCTATTTAATTTAAGCTTTCTCAAGGGAGTTGTTCTCTTCTCTGCATTTGGTTACAGTTTTCTTGTTTCTCATAGAAAAATCCCTTTTATGCATACTGTTTAGTTGTCAGATGAATTTATGCAGAATATTGGAAAAAATTCAGAGCCCAGACTCACCTGTGCTGTAAAAGCTTGTACAGTAACTTGTCATTGGTGTTTTAGCAACCTTAAATCAAAAAGTGTACTTGCTTAATAAGTATGTGAACTGAAAACACCTGACTTAGGCTTAGGAAAGGAAATGCTTAAGACTTAAATATATAATGTGCCAGAATTTTGAAATTTATTGTACCATAACATTGAGCTTAGGAACAAGTGAATAATTCTACAGCCAGAATGCACTTGATTTTATGAGGAAAATATTTTTCAAATGAACAAAACCTGATACGTTTTTTGTTTCATAAGAACATAAGAACGGCCATACTGGGTCAGGCCAAAAGTCCATCTAGCCCAGTATCCTGTCTGCCAACAGTGGCCAATACCAGATGCCCCAGAGGGAGAGATCACAACAGGTAATCCTCACGTGATCCCTCCCGTCACCCACATTGTTGTCTGTATCATACTGTTTTTCATTTATGATCGGATTAATGCTTTCTGAAATAATCAAAGAAATTCTGTTTTAAAAGGGTGTCATGCAAATTTGTTTGAATTCTGTTCGTCCATTCCATTCCTGTATTCTTCAGAAAAGGCACAAGTATCGATATTTGAAATTGAATACTGTGCTGTTTTTGGTTGTTTATACTAATAAACCAGGTAAATATGGAGAATTTGTTCCATTAATGTTCAAACCCCTTTCTCTTTAAATTGTATTTAGTTGGTAACATCAATTAAAATTCTCTACATTATCTTATTTTCTAGTCAGCTATTCTCAATATAATAGATACACATTACACAGAGAGAAGCAGGAATTAGACATTCCTTATCTAATTTTTGTTTAGAAAAATCAAAACAATCTAGAATTATAATAATTAATTAAATTAGTTTTCATCAAATATCTTTGCTTTTTGCACCATTTTCTTTGGCCTATTCTTGAAAAAGAGGCAGACTTGGAAGAGTTAACTTCTGCATTTTCAGTCAGGCTTGTTTTCCCAATTATTTCTCATGCATATCTGCCTTTGGTTTCTTTGACTTGTTTACGGGTGTTTACATTTTCCCAGAAAAGCTATTCCTTTTGCTGCCCTACCTCTATACAAACACTTGTAATCATTGCTATAGCGTATATTGTCCAGTAGGACTAAAGTGATTAATTTAAAGTAGCTTCCTAAGGATAAGATAGAGCTGAAATTCATTATTTTGAAAAATGAACCAAATTAAAAATGCCTTGACTTAAACTAATCAAGGCTTTTAATGAACCTCAGATGGTGTAAATCAGCATATCTCTACTGAACTCAAAGGAACTGTCCCATTTTATACCAGTTGAAGATTTGGTCCAAGAAGTTCAGATTGCATGGGGCATCATTAAACCATAACCGACAATTACTCACCTAATGGAATGTTATTACATATAAATTAATACATGGTTAGAGCCTATAGGTCTTAGTCAAGCAAATTCCCCCTGAGTTTAAGGAGAATTTTGTCTGAATAAGGACTACAGAATATAGCTTGTTTTAGTGAGGCTCACACTGGAATACCAACTACTATGAATTAAACACAGTGATGATGAAACGTTTTTCCCTAAAGAATGTTCATTTTTATTTGTAAAGCAATCATCTCTTTAGTATTTAATACTTTGTTTTTACTCTTAATAGTCTCATGGATACCATAATAATTAAAACACTTCTTTCAGCATTATCTAGGGAACTTAAATGTCGTAATTCCACATATGAAAACTGCAGGAATTGTAGTAATATGAAATTGTTTAAACTAGAATTACTTTTTATGTTTTTGTCTCCTTTGTGTATATAATGATGATGGTTGCTATGGAAAATGTAGGTAGTAATTTATTTGAGTTCATTATATGATTAGTTAATCAG